AATGTTGATGCACAAAATCAGTGGGGACTTTGGTACAACAGAAAGTGTTAAGTTTGTGACCTTCGCTAGATTACTCCGGTCACTAGTGTGGATAAGTATGTAAATGGATAGAGAAACGGAAGCAAAAACAAGATGTACATGGTTCACCTAGATTAGCTATGTCCACGGAGTAGATGAGTTCTCATTAATTGTGAAGGGTTTACACAAGTACATAGGTTCAAGCTCTCCTTTTGTGAGTACTAGTGAATGATTTAGTACAAATGACATTAGGAAATATTGTGGGAGAATAATCTTTTTTTATAGAAGAGAGTTTCTAACTTTGTTTTGACATTGACACATGCTGTGTTGTGATTGGCTTCTGATGTTGACATGTGTCGCGCTATGATTGGCTTCTGATGTCGACATGTGTCGCGTTATGATTGGCTTCTGATGTTGACACGTGTCGTGCTGTGATTGGCCTCTTGGTTGGAGGGAAACTCTTATGGGTCCTTAACGGTATAACGTTGACCAGTGCTCAGTAGTTTCGGGATTGGTCAAGTATGGTACAAACACATGTGTTGCACATGAGAATTATGGGATCACAAATTGACGATTACCAATGTTAATTTTGGTTTTCGGTAGCTACTAAATTCATCAATGAGTTGTGTTGATATTGAGCCACGTTCTTTTGTTCATCAACAAAAAGAAAAATTATTGGCCAAAAATAGAGAAAGGCAATTCTATTACAATTTATTAAGAACGTGAAAAAATGGACCTATAATACAAATCGCCAAATGATGTTGAACCTAGAAGGTTACATATGGGCATTTATAATACAGTGAAATACACTCACATGATATGACACAAGGTTTCCAATTGAAACCTGAAATTGTAATACACTCCTGGAAACATGATTTCTCATTGTGAAGCTTGTTCATTTCAATGGAGAATTATACGTGCCTGAAGCATATCTCTGCAAGTAAATCCTCCCTCAGGTATACATGGAAGCAAGTTGCCCTGTATAAATTCCAAAGGAAAATGTGTCATGAAGTGTAGAAAATCCCTTAATGATTCAAATTTCTTGAAGAAAGCCCTGGAATGGTAAAGCATAAATTATGTACTCGATACCAATAGATGGTATAAATTACCTTAGTGAATACTATCATTATGATATTGTTGTAAAATACTAAATCTCTTGCAAGAGTTGATATTAAATTGGGACTTCTAAAGAGTCTAGAAAGATTATAAAGTGTTGAAAGGAATATTGTCTTGAGCTGCAGATCGAACAATATGCCAACACAAATCTTATTCAAAATGTTTATGGTATTAAAAAACCATATGGATTGAAGATTATGAGTTGAATACTCAAATGATTAACCAATAATTAGACACTAAGAAAGATCATTCATCCTCGTGAATGGTATCAGATTACATTTGGAGCGCATGTGGTTTTTTATATCTCATAGAAATACAGGAGTTTGGTTAAGACATGTGGTCATTAAAATTTGAAGCGCATGTGAACCACCTACAGAAGCAAACACTCCAACTATCATGAATGATATCAGATTACATTAACATAGTAGTAAGTCAGATTAAAGAATTCGAAATTAGGGGGAGATACTCATCAGGGGGAGCATCCAAAACAGATCAAGGTTTTAACGAGGTAACCAAAATTAACATATGGCTATCCAAAGAAAAATCAGATAGGTTATCATTCATATAAAGAAAGTTTGTAAAGCAAATAGTATTGCTAGAGTAATCTTTTGCCTATAAAATGAGAGCATACGGATGAAGAAAAAAAAGTAAGAAAGAAAAGAAGAGAGAGGAGAAGAAGAAGAGAAAGAAGAAAGATACAGAATAAAATACCAGTGAGTTGGGCTAAAGAGAAGAAAGAAAATAGTGAGAGTTATCTTTGTACTCTAATTATTTTACATAATAAAAGAAAGTACTACTGTTGCGTTGATGACGTAGGCACACTTGCCGAACCTAGTAAAAATTGTATCTTATTTACTTTATGTTCAACTGCACACATTCCATCGATTTTACAACAGGAGTCTCATTGTTGATAATTTTTATGTGTACATAGAACACAAAGTAGTATATCACATATTATGATATAAATAGAGAAAAGATTAATGTGTCTTATTTTTAGAATATAATTTTCAATGTCTCTCTATTTATAGTATGTCACGTGGTGTGCTGCCTGCGGTCTTTCTGCATTGAAAATGAAAGATCTTTCCTCAATGTCTGGCAAAAAAAAAAAAAAAAAAGAAATTTTTCCTAGTCCGTATTACGAGCTTACTGAAAAAATTTTCCCAAAAATGGAAACTATAGTTGGTGAACAAAATATAATCTGAAACGTGGCCGCTGTTTATTGGGCGGTGGGTTCCCCGTTCCGTGTCCCTTTTCGCACCGTATAACAAATCCCATTCCTAACCCGACTGTAAAGAAATCGATCGTCGATCTTCATCTCTCCCGAGGAAACCAAGTTCTCTGCAAGGTAAGCTTCCATATCAATCGATTGCTTGAATATTTTCTGCAAAAATCGAAATTTACGTTTTATACCCCTGAGGTGCATCAAATTGCGTATATTGCCCCATATCAATCGAATTGTATTGATTCAGTCTTCCGGAGGTTGTGGGTTTGGATGCGTGTGGCGAAATCAAAACTTCCAATCAACTGAAATTTCCAGTTTTTATTTACTTATTTATTATTATTTATTGTTAATTTTGTGAAAAAATGTTGTAATTCTGTTCAGATAGTGGGGCTTTGTGGTGCAGTGCTGCGTTTTGAGTTTCCAAGGCGTCAATCAACATGCAGGTTAGCTCAAGTTCTTGTTTTGGCCAGTCAGGTTATAGCTAGAATTCATTATTGTTTTTCGGGTTTATTTTCGATAGGTTGTTTATCCGAATTCTGTTTAGCTTCAGAGGATATTGGAATATGAGTGTTGTTGGTTAACAAATTGTTAATTGTTTGAAATGTGTCAAACTTTTATGGCTGAAAGTGGATTGGGATGGAGGGAGGATTGTCGAAAGATGCGGTAAAAAGCTAGAAAGGTGACAGATGGAGGGAGAATAGATTTGAGTTTGAGGATAAAGCATCGTTTGTTTTGTGGAGAGGAAGGAGACTGTGAGGCCTAATGGAGCGATAATGATGAACTTGAATGACTAGTATGTTGTATTGCATAGTGTGGAATCGTTACGAATACCACACTGAAAAGATAAAATTGTGAAAAACAATCGTATCTTTAAGATGGAAGTGAATCCAATGTGAATGATGAACTTTAATGGCTAGCCGGGTGTTGCCATTATACAACATTTGCTCTGCTTCTGGTCTTCGATTGGTTTAATGCATAACTCTTTTAAACCATGCGGTGAAACCATTTTGAAGACATAAGTTTTTGCAGGCATCAAGGGCAAGGCTTTTCAAGGAATACAAAGAGGTGCAGCGAGAGAAAGTTGCTGATCCAGATATTCAATTAGTTTGTGATGACACAAACATATTTAAATGGACTGCTCTCATCAAGGTACGCTCAGTCATTACAATGAAAACTTCTTGGGGTATATTGTTATATTGTTTGTCCTCATCTGTCCAAATTTTGCCTGTAGGGTCCATCAGAGACCCCATTTGAAGGCGGTATATTCCAGCTTGCTTTTGCGGTGCCTGAGCAGTATCCTTTGCAACCTCCACAAGTCAGGTTCTTGACAAAAATATTCCATCCAAATGTACATTTCAAGGTATGAACTCTTTATATGATTGCGTCTAATCTGTTTGAATATGAACTACTTCCTGAATTTGTTCTATCAAAACTTTCAATGAAGTAGTGCATCAAAGCTTACTGAGGATTTCATATGGTTAATTGCTCGGTCTACCGAGCTTACCCTCTGACAGTTGACTGGATCACCAAATGAAAATTAAATTGGAAACTATATGTTTAATGTACTTTTCTAAACACATCAAGTATTATTTCATTTTTCTGAAGTTGTTTTCTATGCAGACGGGAGAGATTTGCCTTGATATTTTAAAGAATGCATGGAGCCCTGCTTGGACACTTCAATCTGTTTGTAGGGCTATAATCGCTTTAATGGCCCATCCAGAACCTGACAGCCCATTGAACTGTGATTCCGGTTAGTTGGCACGCATATTATGTATATAAGCATTGACATTGGATTTTTAAGTTATAGAAGCTCAGTATTTATACTTCTATCCCATGTGCTTTGTGAGTCGTCTTTATCAATTCTTAAGCCAGCGACTGGATACCCCCTTAAGTTTTCGTTTCAATAATGGGCGTTTCTTATGACACCTAAGCTTTGTTCCCATGGATGTGCGAGAACTAGGATTCTGAAACTAGGGAGGACATAAATAAATAATCGTCTGAGGCTAGTGAACCATAGTTTACTTATGACTACCTCCATTACAAGGAAGAAAGTTGGTCCAGTTTTCCGTATCTGCATTTGTTATGAAGAAAGGAGATAACTTAAAGAACTTGGGCGCATCCCCCATCCAAAGACAGTAGGTTTTCCCTTATTGATTCATTTGCATTTTAGAAGATGAAATTCACCTGGAATCCCCAATTCCATGTATTCCGTGAAAAAATGCCGTGGCACAAATATCTTTTTAGAATTAAACTACAGATAGCTTCAACTATTCCTTCCACAATGTTGCATTAAACTGAGTGCTAGATTTGAGTTAATATGCAAAGTACTGTCAATTTTATTTTCCATCTTCTGTTTTAGTTAATTGGTCTTGCTTGTGTGGTAGGCAATCTTCTGCGTTCTGGCGACCTCCGAGGGTACTATTCCATGGCACGAATGTACACTAGGCTTGCTGCCATGCCCAAGAAAGGCTGACGAAGCGGGCATGCTCCAGTTTTTTGTCTTCAATTTTAGGAGCAGCTGGTATGTGATTGTATTGCCTGATTTTATGCACGAAGTTGCACATAATGTAAACCTTGACACATATTAGCTTGGGGGATATTTATACATCATGATTTGAATTGACGTAACTGAAAATTGTACTCGTTTAAGAACGATGTTTTAATAAAAGTCCGTACTACCAAATGATTTTGCTGAAAACACGATGCATTATTTCAGTCTTGACGATACATTATCACAGAGTACATTGCTTAAGCCCAGAAGCCGATTGGATCTATTTACATATGAACATTGGGAAAGTAGATTGGGTAGAAACAACGAACAGAACGACTGCAACCACGGCCTCACTGCTTCAGAAACTGGTCGAACCAGTCACTGGCCTCGACTACCATGAGCGGGGTCATTTGGTGCCCGATTCCTGGCTGCGCTATGAACTGCATTACGATGAAATGAAGGTCATTGAATAGCTTTGTCAACTAATCTACAAAAGGAAAATAAAATGCCAAGGTTCGATGTTATTTGCGTTTGGATGAACAAATATGAACGTCGGCCATGAGCATGAAGGAAGATTTGAACACAAGAAGTGCTAAATCAGAGGCTCTAAATGCGGTTGAAGACGGTGAAATTTGTGAAAATTGTTTGCAGGGTATGACAGCGCTACTCCGTACCTTGAAGTTGTCTATGGCGTGCGCATCTGCATAAGCCTTGCATGCTTTGGAGTTGGGAACTTCCAGACCAGCAAGCGGACATCGAGGATCTTCGGCACCTGATATTTTCGGAAATAAATGAAACATGATAAAAACTAACATGAAGTCATCTTCACGACGAATAAATTGAAGGAAAACAAGAATTCTTGAAGATTGTCCATTGTCAAGTGGATTTAAGAAAGTAGTGCTCCGTATTAGGATTAGGACAGGGCGATGGACAAATAGGTGAAGCATCACTATGTTTGTGATTCGTAGCTCCAGTGTGAAACGGAATTTTACCGTTTAAAATCAACAGAGGACGAGGTGCGATAGCTGGAATCGAGTAAGGAGAATCAAACTGGGAGGCCAGACCGGGAGCAATCCTATCCCAGACCTGGTCAGATAAGTAAATTGTAAGCTGTCGTCCAACTTCATAATAACAATCAATTACCCCTTCTAGTTTGAAATACTGAATGTATAGATCAGACTCCCCGAGATCAATTCGTATCTGAGAGTCAAGTATGTAGCGAACCTTCTCCACCACTTCTTTGTCAATCACACTCTTCCTAAGATCAATTCGTGCTTCTGCAGTACAACCGAGAAAATGAAAGAATCAGAGAAGTAAACACAACCCTGTCTACGAAGACAAGAAACACTAAAAGAAGGTCTAGGTTTTCGTTCAAATGAATCGAACAAAAGAGAATTTATGAAGAAACTTGAATCCACTACACTATAATCGTATGTAGACTGATTACTAACAAAAATGGAGGCAAAAGAATCTACTATTGGAAGGGAACCAAGAGCGAAAAACGAAACTAATCGTTGGAGTGAAACCAAAAGTATACTTTCTAATATATAATTCAATCTTCTACTTCTCTTACCCTCAAAAACAGGTTTTATACTGTCAACTCGAGCCTGCCACTTATCGTTGTCTATGGCCCATCGAAATCCCTGCAGATGTAGTTGCACTGAGTTAGAAATTTAGAATCACAAGAGGTGAACTTATAACTAATGATATTAGATGCAGCACCTGAACACCAATTATAGGAACCACTACTGCATAACGGGTGTCAGCAGCAGCAGCAAACCATGCATGCATCCCTGCATCGGAAAATAACAAGATGACTTTGGAGTTGCACAGAAAGAGGTAATGTATTTTCAAGTTTCCGTCTCATAAAGTTTTCCTTCACAAACCTCCAAGTGATTCACCGGTGATTCCTACCCTAGTAGGGTCTATATCCTCCCTCTGTGTTAAATAATCTGCCAATTTTATCAAGTCCCAGACCTGCGATAATGAAATTTATTTCATTCACACACAATCATCAAATAACAATTCCCAATGACGAACTACATTTCCTACTTCAATGTACCAGTTGAGTAACTATCTTATTCACACAAAAACAAGTGGAGTTACCGTATCAAATAAGAATGGCATTGTATCACCTTTTTTCCATGCTGATACGAGAGCCTGCATGCGAATAAATCCCCGGATCAGTTTGTATGGCGTAGGAATGCTTACTAGCTTAAACCAGAGTAGGACGCCTCGCTCAATCTAAGATCGGTTCACGTTTTCTTGAGAAAACCATGTGAAGTACTAGTCTAGAACTCACACTACCATAGCACAGCTCACAATAGGTACTTACCCGTCACTTTAATCTATGAGGAGATTCATAAACCAAAAAACTTGAAAACAGCATCTAGATTGTGCTTTTACCAAACCACAGGCCAAAATCACATAATTACGACGAAGCAAAGGTGGAAAAATATACGTACATCTCTGTAAGTGGAGATATTTCTGGCACGTTCGCCATGGTAGCGGGAATCAATGGCAATTGCTACGTATCCCCTTGAAGCATAGGCCTGAAAAACAACACAAACATGAGAATTCTTGCTCTGACCGAGTGTAGATTGTAATTGAAAGATCGCACAAAAAGATCAGGTACCTCAAGCAATGGTCTTAACCATTCTTTGTTCTTGTTTGTACTATGCAGAAATACAACAGCAGGCCTTTTCTGGGTACAATTTTCCTTCATGCTCAAAATTAACACGGGCAACCGCCCTTGCTCTCCAGCCTATCATTTACGATAATAAGAACATTATTCCCCACCATAAAACTCCAACCCGAAATTTACTTAAGCGATAATAATTTGAGAAATTTGATTATTTAGACTTAAACCAACTACCTCAGTAATTAAGTAAAGGTTTTCTTCCTGCAGCTTATCCTTGAAATCGGGGATGCTGGCTTTCGGACAAGCGTTCATTGCCTAGCTAGCAAAACACAAAACACCATAAATTCAACAATTTCGAATTGTCAAAATCACAACTTTTAACACATATGGGGGCCTGTTTGGAAGTGCTTTGAATAAGCTTTCAGATCACCAAAAGTGTTTCTAACAACATTTGGGAAAGAAAAAAAAAAGTTAAGGCCATCTCCAAAGGAGATGTCAAATATGCCAAATAGGATTAAAAGACATTTAAGTATTCTCCAATGGATATGTCATATATGATGTGGTATGTAAGTCATTTGACTCCTTCCTTTCTAATGACTTTTTTTACAACAAACAAAGGAGTCAAATATATTTAATTTAATTTTTTAATGCATAGATCCCATTAACAATCAATAGAATACAAACTAAAACTAATTTTGATTATTTTTTAATAGTTAATGTAACTCTAAGCCTAATAAAATAATAAAATAAATATTTAATATATCCATTGAAAAAGAAGAAGATTTAACACTTTTATTCAATTTGTCATATTAGCCATCAAATAAAATTACAAAGAAGCTCTAAAGGTGCTTCTAGATGTAATAAGGTATGTGCTTTTTCTTCACGAAGCAATAAGTGATTTCTAGATGCTTTTATTAAAAAATTAGACTTGCTTGAGAAAAGCATTTCCAAATTGGAATCAGATTCGAACCTCACTGAAGCTTGCTGGATTATCCTCCTGAAACAACGGATTCGCCACCGGTTTCGCCTGCTCAACCAACATTGGAACTGAAAGGAATCCAAAACGTTACCAAACAGGCAAGTATTCAATCAGACATTTTCCACCGATTCCCTCAAATTTTCAAACCAGCCAAACAGAAAATTAAGCAAATAAACGTCTACAAATTCACTCACCTTCGCCCGATCGTCTGCTGCGCAGAACTTGGAGGAACTCCGAGCGAAGCTTCTGAGCGTCCATTTCGCTCACTTCACAGTCACTGAGTTTTGATCTGCTGCTTCTGGCCTGCGACTTGGTCCGGTATTTATAGGACAGTTTTGGCGGGGAGGGAGGTACGGAGAGACACGTGTGGGACGGAGGAGGTGCCACGTGTGAGAGCGTGGTGCTTGGTGAATTGGATTGCAGAGGTTGTTGACGAGCAGCGATGAGTGAGTGGGTCCTCATGAGGCAGCTTCCTTTTCCTCCTGAAACGAATATTATTAGTATTAAATAATATAATTTAGTACAAACGATTAGGGGTGGTTCGGTATGGGATCCTATACCGAAACCCTTGTCCCGATTCTCATACCGAAATTTTCGGGAATCTCAATTTCAATACCGATCCCAAACCAAATTTTCGGGAATCCCAATTTTCGGAAATCCCGAAATAGTTTCTGGATTTCGGGATAAATCGGGAATCCCAAAAATAATTTTGGGCTTTTGGACTTTTGGGCTTTTGGACAAAAAAAACTAATATTGGTCCAATTTGACAAAAACCTAATATTGGGCCTGCCCACTGAATGTAACAGCCCCCACATATGGGCTTAACTTTTATTCAACCAAATAAAAAAAATATTGGGCAAACCTGCAATGTTTATAAGAGCAGAACGAACATTAGCAGTTCAGCTGCATTTTCCACTTGTATTGTAGCCAAGGTTTTAAAATAAATAAAGTAACAAACCCAAAAGCAAAAAAATTAGTTACAATCCAAAGTTTTAATAATTAAGTTACAAACCAAAAGCAAAAAAATTAGTTACAATCCAAAGTTTTAATAATTAAGTTACAAACCAAAAGCAAAAAAACAAAGTTTCAAGTTTATGAAGATTGTTGACCTCTTCGGCCCCTTCTTGTTGGCACTTGTAATTTTCCCCTTGATGTTGATGGTTGAGCCCTTCCCCTTACAATGGGTGGTCGTGGTCGTGGAGGTAGTGATTGATTTTGACGTTGTTGAACTTGTACTTGAGGTGGTCGAGGAGGTGGAGGTGGCATTTCATTTTCTTGTGTTGTATTCTCCTCACCTCCCAAATTAGCCATGTCTAAAACAATAAACCACAAATCATTTACATTGAATTATAGTCTAATAGATAATAAATACTAAGAAAATAAAAGATGAAATTAAATTGTTTACTTACTTCTTTCTAAGCGATCAAGCTCCTCGTAGAAACATAATTCGTCAATGGTAGGCTCCTTGTAGAAACAAAATTCTTTTCCTCTAAGCCAATCACTAGTACACACTAAAGCCTCAACCGTTTTAGGTGTTAAGGAAGCTCTAAAAGGATCAACAACTCTCCCACCAAGACTAAAGGCATTCTCACTAGCAACGGTGCTACTAGGAAGGGCCAATACATCCTTAGCAACTTTACTAAGAATTGGATATTGACCACAATTTCCTTTCCACCAATCTAAAAGATTGAAACCCTCATATGTTAGGCTTTGATGTGGATCATTGAAGTACATATCCACTTCATTGGCTATCTCATTTTGTTGTGCCTCCGCTCTCTTTCTTTGGATCTTCTTTGCCATCCTTGAAGCAACATCAATATCTACCATCACAACCCCTGCCCCATCATCTAGTACAACACTTGATCTTTGCTCCACATTTGAGGTAGCACTACTACTAGTACTACTACCACTACTACTACTAAGGACCACTCCCTCCTTATATGCATTATACAACTCGGTTACATAACCTTTAACCCTTACTTTCTCCTCCCTTATTTTGTCACATCCATAGCCGAGCTTTTCTAGATTTGTCTCCAACATATCAAATTTGTACCTCGGGTCGAATGATTGGGCCACAAAGAGAATAGGATTCACCTTTTCAATGTCACCCCAATATTTGTCAAACTTGAGCTTCATTGAGGTAGCCACACTTTGCAAAGTGGCATTAGAGGCGTTTGAAATTTGTTCTTCTATCTCCACTTGCAAGGCAATCACCGTGCTAAGTATTAAGTGTGACGTTGGAGTAAGGGTTGCACTCAATGTCAAGGTGGCATCATAAAATTTTTTGAGAAAGTCAGCAAAACTCACCGACCTTTCCCAATCATCCACCTCCGGAGGACCCACCCGCTTGGCCTTTCTTGTCACCCCATCAACCTCTTTCGAGACCTCCTCTTTAAAGTAAGCAATGAAAGAGTCACACTCAAAGACCATCTTAGAGAACACTTCTTTAAACTTGAAAGCACTATTAAGCATTTGATATGTGGCATTCCACCTTGTGACAACATCAAAAGGGATACTTGACATCCTATCAAATCTCAACAAGAAACAATATTCCCTAAAAGACTCCAACCTTGCCGGGGATGAGTGTATAAACTTCACACAATTTCTTATGGCATCAATCTCCCTACTAAGCTCCGTCATTCCATCCTTAACTATCAAATTGAGAATGTGACAAGCGCACCTCATGTGCAAGTGAGCCCCATCAAGTAAAAGAGTACCATTTGACTTAAGTCTTCTTTTCATGTATGCAATAGCGGTGTCATTTGCACTAGCATTGTCAACGGTAATGCTAAACACCTTGTCTATGCCCCAATCATTCAAGCAAACCTCTAGACATCTTCCAATATCATCACCCTTATGAGAAGTAACTTGGACAAAGTTTAGGATCCTCTTATGTAACCCCCAATTAGTGTCCAAAAAATGAGCCGTGATGACCATGTAGTTTATCATTTGAATTGAGGTCCAAGTGTTGGTTGTAATACTCACTCTCAACCCCTCAATCACACTTTTTATTTTTGCCTTCTCTTCAACATACAACTCCAAAACCGCCGCCGCCACCTTATGCCTATTAGGAAGTTTGTACTTTGGATTCAAGTCACGAATAAAATCTCGAAAGTCCTCTTGATCAACCACCCTAAAAGGCATCTCCGCTATTATAATCCACCTCACACATCTCCTATCAAGTCTTTTTTGATTGAAAGTGTGAGTGACAACCGGACCTCCCATCCTTGCTTGTGTCAATGTAGGTTGGTTCGGATCCACATTCTCAAAAACACTAGAACCCGGGCATTTCCTCAAATGCTTAAGAATTCCCGTTGTCCCATGAATTATAGGGTGTGCCGGTACTAAGAGTTTGCAATGCTTGCATTCGGCCATGTAAGATTTCTCCCCATTATTATCGGTGATCGTTACCCTCTTAGCATCATTCCACACCGGACTTGGACCCTTTCTCCTATTGCCCTTTTTCCGAGGAGGACCATCCCATTGTCTCACTACTTCTACTTCTGCTACTTCATCTTCCCCCTCTTCCCCCTCTTCTTCTATTTGTTCTAATGCAATATCCTCCTCCACATCCAGATCATCATCCCAACAATCTTCATAATAATCATTATGCAAATAATCTTGAGGTGAGGGAGTGCCTAGTTGAAGGGTACCACTAAGTTGGGTTTGTTTTCGTTTTCCTAATACCGAGACCATATGTGTACTAGATTGGCTACTAGATCCGTCCATCCTAACAAATAAAATAACAATGTACATTAATATATCACAACCACAGTTCAGCATAGTGTGTACATTAATATATAACAATGTACATTAATAACAATGTACATTCAAAGTAAAATCTGACCCAATATATACATCCTATGATAACATTAACTTGTTACTTGTTTAAATTATGTAATGGGATTTTAAAATGGTTAATGGCATGCGATTCATCACAAATGAAGTAAGGAAAATAATGTGCACATATTCAGCAAGCTGATCACAAGTAAAACAGATATAAATAAAAGACATCACCATAAACCTACCTCTTCATGAATTTTTGTAATTTCACGAGCTAGGATGCATTTTCTGAAACACAATTACAAACTCACCAAATCAATTTTTTTGTAAAACCACTAAGTCAGTAAAAGCGCATAAATCCATACATGGAAGTTTAATTTGTAACTCACCATAACAAAAACTAATATATAATCATTTTTTTCTTAAGTCAGTAAAGCTTTTATTGAAGTTGGTATTTTTTCTTAATACCTTTATTAAAATTGATTTTTAATCTGAAGCCTTAAAAGTATTTACCTTGAAACACAAAAAACTGAAGAAGTCTCTTCAAGAAATTGCTGAAGTTTGTGGGGAGGCACATAGAATATTTGGGTCGTCCCCTCATTTGCTGAAACCGTCAACCTCTCTCTTCTAGATCCAGCATGTTTAGAGAGAAATCCAACTGCAGAAGTATACTCAGTTTCAGAGTTCTATATACATCTTATCCACCAAGAAGAATATCTGCAGCATCATTTCCATGGAAAACTTACCAAACGTAAACTCATCCGTGGAGAGGCCAGATGCAGAGAGAGCAGCCACAAAAGCAGACGGCCCAGGTATAGGAATAACAGGGATGTTTTCATCCACGCACAGCTTTGCCTGCAGCAAAACTTGAGAGAGATCCAACTGCAGAAGTATACTCGAGAGAGATCCCCAGTTCTGTGACCTGTCATGTCCGTGAAAGACAATCGCCCTAGAGAGAGAGAGAGCGGTGGTTGTGTGGTGAAGGAAGGCTGGAGAGTCAGAGACGAGAGTATGGTGTGGTGGTGGGTCGGTGGCTGGTCGGAATTCGACAGTATGGTGAGGGACGACGTTGGTGAGGGTCGGAGACTCACGGCTGCGCTTCAAAAAAAATGAACGGAGGAATACAAAAGTGAAATGTTATCATCTGACCTAAAAACAAATCGACGGCACAGATTAAATCCAAAACAATCAACGGTTGAAATAATTCTCTTATAATTAAAAAATTATATATATATATATATTTTTTTTTGGTTCGGTATGGGAATACCGAAAAAATGAAATGCAATACCGAATCCCATACCGAAAATTTCGGTTTGGTTTGGGATTACATCCCGAAACTTTCGGGAATTTTGGTTTGGGATCGGGATTTTTTTGGTTTGGTTTGGGATTTTTGGGATTTTTTTCCAGCCCTACAAACGATGAAAACCTTTTTGGCGTGCGATGGTTTCATCATATCCAAATTTTCTTTATCAATGTGATTGGCAGCTGAGAAAATTTTGAGGTGATGATGGAAATCATTTGGGTTAAACGATTTGTTTATTCTAAATCCAGAGTCGTGTGGAATCAGTCTTTCTTTACACTTATGTATCAGAGTTGTGCCTTATTTTTTTAATGTATTGAAAATTTGTCTTATTATCTGTTGTATATGTGTGTGACGTAATGAGAAAAATAAACACATAATTATATACAATCAC